ACAATCCGCGGTTTAGGAAGGAGAGAGCAGAAGCGTCTTGGAACTCGCTTGAGGGCAAAAAATAGAGCCACAATAGGAACAAGAGACTGGGGGAGCCTTAGTCTAGGTCAATCCATTTCAATTGGGCCAGCAGGATCTTGCTTTCTTGGTCGAAGGAGTGACCGCACGCGCCTTTAGCACATGTTTGCTTTTTTGTTTTCCTTTTCTGCTACCTGCTGAAATCATCATAACTACAGTTCTCGACCCTAAATGTTTCCTTTTTTTTTTTTTGAATATTTGTAACTACAATTGTTTCTATATGCTCTTGCTTATAATTTGGAACAGCAAGGGCTTTCCTAAAGTTAGCCAGTGGTGGCAGTGCTGAAAGCACAGCCATTTTGAACTCAGTTGCAAGCTCCAATTGAGGCAGGCGAGCTCGGTTCAGATTAACTCTTATTAGTGACTTAATGACAGTCAATATCATCGAGGAACTTCGGCCAGTTGCAATTAAACACGTTCTTGACTCTGACAGTCGATAGCGCTATTGTAACTAGGCTTTAACACTGCGTTGCCTCTTGGCGGGAACAGAGCTCGACACAGTCAATGCGAAGAACCAATTGCCAGTTTTCCCCTTGTTTCTTTCGCAGCTGAAATGTTGCCATCAAGACTACTGGTATAGTGCAGTGTGCACATCCTGGGTATCGGCTTGGGCGACAAATGCTAATGTCTACAATCTATCCAAGTAAAATGCAGAAAAAAAAAAAGTTCCAACGTTTTCTTTTTGTTATCAGTGCTGTGCGTTGTACCATGTCAGCCTCTGGGGTTAACCTTCAGTAAGCGCCCCCCAAAAGAAATAAGACTATTTGCACGCAGCCATAGAGAGTAAACTTTGACAGGTGCCCTAACGCTGCTTACTGTCATAATTCCACCTATAGTGGGTGACAGGTTAAGAATGCCATAGAAGCTCCACCTCTCGCACATACTCATTAGCTTTCACCATGCTCTGGCTGCATCTGTTCGCGAGAAGCCATAGTGTTATCAAAAGAAGAAAGCTTGCGCCGGAAGCGAGCTTTTACCACATTCTTAGTCTGTCGCCGGCTATGGAGCAAATGCTTGACAGAAGTGTGATCGAAATTGCTCAGGGCTTAAAAGATGTTGACTAAGAAAAGTCGTACACAAGGCACGGCAGCGCTTAATGTTTTTTCTTGGTCTGCTTTTGAGTGCTGCGTGATTTCTGTCGCGTTTAATGTGTACCACTTGTCCAGAAAGGCGGGCATTAAACTCTCGACGATGCTGCCAAGCACATTGGCTGGCAACACGAGCTAGGATTTGCAAGTGCATTCAGACTGCAAAAGCCCCACTGTCGCACAGCCACCAGGCGTGTGTGGTGGACGAGTAGACACGGTTAGACACCTCCACTGCCGTTTTGACCGTCCACTTGCTGCCTTCTGAACCATGCGGCCTCGTACTGCTCGGTTGCAGTTCGCGCATTCTAGCTTGCATCGCTAGCCACCGTACAGTGTAGCAATAGAACGAAAACCTATCCCCAAGTCTTCGTAAAATTTGGCCCATTTCGTTGCACCGACCTACGGATTCCCCGAGTGGCGGGTTCGAATCCTGGTCGAGGTGCCCGCATTCTGACGGATGCTTATTGCGAAGAAGAATTGGTCTCTCGATTTGCGCCCGGTTTCGTCGTGGAAGTGTTACACCGTCAACGGCCGCTAGCGGAGTCCCAGCAGCAGTGCCGAGTGTGGCAGAGGCCCATTCCGCCGCAGGTGGCTTGGCGGTTCGCGGAAACTCCGGCGGTCAAGAGTGAGGGCACCGCGACGACGGCGACACTCGCGTTTAGTCGCGCTTTTTGTCGGAACTTCTAGGACCGGCCGTCGAGATAGCGGCGTCTGACGGCGTGACACCCCGCTCTTGTGACGTCGTCTGTTGCCGCTTCGGGACCACTAGCGACGCGTGGGCGGAATGGGGCACTAAACACGCCGGTCTGAGACACGCTCGAGGCATTGTGGCGCATATCGCCGTACGGCCTAAGATTCAAGATACTCAGGTGGTGGGAATTAATCCCCAGTCCTCCACTGGGGCGTGCCAGTTGCCCTTCGTCGGTTTGCCACGTGAAATTATGAATTTCGAATTTGGCCCCCCCTTGTTGGGAAAATGTTTGAACCATTGAGTATTTTTTGATGGACGCATAGCCTGGAAGCTTGAACGAGCTGGAAAGCGGAATCATAAAGCTGGAGGGTGGAATTATAGTTGTGTCTGTCTATTATATTTGTTATTATTGCATTGAAAGGCTTGGGTTGTTCACTCGTTTTGAATGCTTTGTAGAAAGCGGGCTACTCTGAGAAAATTTGTTTTTAGTGCTTTGTTATGCCCTTTTCAACTTTCAGCAATCTGCAAACTTTGTTACCATTCAAACCTTGCATGTATACATAAATTGTGGGGAACACTGTTTAAAATATTTTTCTAGTAACAAACCAAACATTCTACACAGCATGAAGGCTTAGGAAGTGGGCAAGTCATTTCTTGAGGGTGTGTGTTAGTTTACTAATATGACAATGCCACCTCCGAGCTGCTTTGGTACACATGACTTTAGGAAAATTAATAGGCTTGGTGCTGGAGGACCAAATGGTTCTTAGTCGCATCTTTGCTGTAGAGTCAAAAATGAGGCATGTACATTACCTGGAGGCACACCTAGCTAAAAGCATGGCCAAATCTTTCAAGAAGGGGCAGGTTTTGTTCTCAATTTCCTTGTCTGTCGGTTGCATTGCTGAGCTGAACTCGGAAATGTTTTGACATCTGCAGTTTCGCGATGAAGTACTTCAGAAGCTTATAAATGCTGTCAACAGCATTGCACCCACTAGACAGAACATTTCCTCGATTCTGCGCACCTCTGTGCTCGTAGTTGTTACAGTGCCGTTATAGATTCAGATGTGGAAAAGGATTGTGCGATCAATAGAGTGAAAGTAAGCAATAAGGACAGATTCCAAGAAGTACACACTGATGGAACCATTGCTTTGGTCCAAGGACGAATGGTAATCTTGTTTGAGGTTGTGTAAAGCAAGCAGCTTGGGAAATGAGTTCCTCCATTCATTCATTTATTATCCATAAGGGCCCTGGCAAAGGCATTATATAAAGGGAGTAACACAAGAAAAATATTCATGTAGAACAGTGACATGCTAGAAAAGCCTGGAAAAAAAATCGGGAAAAAAAGTACATAAAAAAACATTTCATACACAAAAAAAAAAAAAAAAAAAAAAAAAAAACAAGAGTAAAAAGAACAAAACATTTTAGGTGTATGCCAAGTGGCTGCTATGTTTGAGGGCGTGTCTGATTACAGCAGAATATGGGATGATACAGCGTTTCTAAAAATTTATGGGTCACCAAATAATACTGTCATCTGGCAGCTGATTCTGTTAAAGCAAAGGAAAGAAATGAGTTAAGTTAGTGGAACCACGAATGCGACATACGCTAAGGGAGTTGATATGTTGAATTGAGCGATGGGGATCTAATAGCAAAGCCTGTCTGAGCTGGGGGTGGTGATAGAAATTCTTATGGGAGAGACACAGACATGATATCCTGCAGCGAGTTCTGAGAGCGGGGAGGCACAGAGGGGGGCCTTCATGGCAGACACTGGCAGTGTGTTCATAGTTAGAAAGGATGAATCGTGTAACTCAAATTTGAAAGGAATGTAGAGTATTAGTGAGGTAGATTTGGTGAGGAGACCAAAAGGCAGCTGCATATTCTATCTTTGGGCAAACAAAAGTCTCTTTGGTCAGCTGCCGTGGAGGTGTTGAGTGCAGGCAGCATCAGATGTAACCAAGTGTCTTGCGTTCAGTGTTTGCATACCGATATTATGTTACAGGTGCACGACAATAATTGCTCAACATCAGCAGCTTAATTTTGATTGTATGTTTCCTGAAAGATGTTATCGAGGGGATTGTGGACTTCCTTAGCCCTGTCCATGGAAAGCCCTTGTAACCTGAAATTCCTCATATTTTGCAAAAAAAAACAATTCATTGCATTTTGAGGGTTCATTGAGACCAAAATGTTGTAAGAGAGGGTAAATGAGCCTTCAGTATACCCACATTTGCAATGTATTTGTGTGACAAATCTTTTAAAATTGCTCGAGATAAGCAAAGCTTGTGGAAATAATTTTACAATATGAAGTGTTTGCAGTACGCAGACACAGAAAGAATAATTCTTGAACCTTTGAATAAGATAGTAGTGAAACATTGTTTATGTACGAGATCATAAAAATTCTAGCTGACCTGGAGATACCAATTTATTTATTTCTATTTCAATACTCTTGAGGTGCACAAACATGTTACAGTGGGGTGGTCACAAGGTGTTATAAAATGCATAAAGTAAACAGTGTTCAAACCGCAAACAACAAGGATTTGCCCCATTGTGAGATATGCGCTTTTTGAGAGGAAGTGGCGCCACCCTGTGGCAAAACATGTTACTTTTGGAAACGGAGAGGTCGTGCCCGTTGGAATGTGCAGCCAAAACGTCTGCAGCCTGATAATAGAAAAGGTGAAACAGGAACGGGGAATAATTGCAAACCGTTGGAAACATGACTAAGAGGAGTTGGGAAAGAGCAACCAGAGGGTAAGGGAAAGATTGAGAGAACACAATGGACTGAATTGTGTCATGCAATAGCGCGGTGACCTACTGATTTAAAGTTTTGTTGCTTCGTGTTTCTGGGTGTTTTTGCATGCGGGAATCTGTTTAGTTGGTCACATGGGTGTCTCTAATAGCTTGGGCATAAATTTCATTTGAGCAGTTGGCAGATTGACTTAGTATGTTCTAGCACTACATTCTGCTTGGCACGTCCCATTTCACAGCCTTGACTGGCACGTGGCCAGCTGCCATTTGAGATGCCCGTGCGACCGAAGTCTTAGATTGACGCTTGTACCGTCATCACCTTGGTTTAATTTTTGTTCGCGAACCGACGGGTATTTTGGTGACCGATGTGTGGCAACTTCACCTTTTGTTTTCTTCCTCTGGAGCAGGAAAAAGTGGCAGCGAACGTCCCGCCCTCCTTGGTGAGCCACGTGGCTTCGGTAGCTACGGTGAGTGGACGCAGTTCGTCATTATTTCACCGGTTTTAAAGGGAACATGGGAGCGAAAATAAAAGTTTGTGCGGGCACAACAAAGACTTCACATCAAAATGCCGTTGAATTTGAATACCGTAAAAACCGGTCAAACCCCAGTTTAGAAATTGTAAAAATCTGCTTTTACATCAAGAAAACGCAATCTTGCCTAGAAAAATACATTGTGAAGGATATAGCCCGACGTGAAGTCTCAGTGTGTTTATTTTCTTTGCACTGCTCTGCGTTTGCACGTAACGAAACACATTAGCGAGCACTATTCAAATACTTCCAAACCTTCTTTCGATGACGAGCGTTTGTCGCCGTCCATGTCCTGCAATGTGTTGTCTTCTGTGCCGTCAATTGCGTTGCTGGTGCGGCACGCGCACCGTCTCGTCTGGAAGCAGCTTCCACGCCAACGACATCAAAGCACAGACGGACGAGGCAGCCCGTGGGTGTCCTTGAGTTGTTGCCCATCTTCTGCTTGTTACAAAGTTCACTCGGTCAATCCTCGAACAGTTTGTTCCTCGCAGCGTCCAGTGGCTGTAGCGCAAATGTCGTGCCGCCAGGGATAACCGCCAAGTCCGTCCTGCCATCGTGCAAGGCCCGCTCGACAGGAGCGGTCAGATAGCTTCGAAACAAATTGAGGATCAACTTACTTGGTCGCCCGAAAAGCGCATTGGGGTGTTGATTCCACACCAGTCCGACCCATTTCATTATTGACAATTAATTCGTAAAGCCTTTCTCTTTCACCCAAACTATGACGTCGCGAGGGAAGTCCTGCTCTGGCAAGGTGTTCTTTTTAAGAATTATAAAAGGGGGACCCACGACCCTGTCTTCTTGAATTGCTACCTAGAGAGTTCGGAGGCACGAGCGACCTGGATCGCTTTCGTGCGGAAGCGTTCGGACGTCGCAACAAGTAGCGACCTGCCATGCAGCTGTCGAACAAGCTCCGCTACTTCTTCTTGCAGATCAGGGATCACGACAGTTTGTCCACGGAAAGAGGTTTTCTCGGCATTGCTGCAGGTCATGAGTTTTCGTTTCTGGCCTTGCCGCTAGCGTATGCACCTCTCCGACACGCCAAACCCCCATTGCACCGCCGGATTTCCATCTGTTTCTGCATATGCAATTGCTTTTTACTTGAAGGCTGTTTTAAACTGGCAACAAGCAGCAAACAAAAGTAGTAAAGTAGCACAAAAAAAAGAAAATGGCAGTGCCAGCCACTCGTAGTTCCCAGACTTGTTTTTTAGCCAATGACCGTATGTAAGCTTTTTTGGGTACATTTCCGAAAAAAAAGTTTGACTAATATTCTTGTTTATGCGGAAGGTTAATACCAGTGAAAGTCGAGTATGAAGAGTTTGTAAGTGTGCAAAATCCCATTCTAAAAAAAAAAAAAAAAACGGATATTTTAGTTACGCTAATTATAATGTAGTCTCGCTGCTGGTGGTTGATATTAATCCCTCTACTGATGCGTGCCAGATAAAACCCCAAATTTGAATTGTGCCTCTGTCTCGTCTGTTCTCAGGCAATGCAGGGGACGGCCGGGGCCCCTCCGCCGGCCCGGGCTACGCCGCCGAACGCAACGACTACGATTACGGCGGGCCTCGAGGCAGCCAGTTCAGCAGCCCCGGCAGTGGCTACAACGACGGCTACGGAGCACCCCCCAACGGGCCCCAGGACCGCTACGGAGGTCCTCCAGAGTAAGCGGGAGAAGCTGCAACTGCATCTGGCGTAGTTTCTGCCGCGGCATAAGCTATGCACAAATGCCTAACAACCAACAGCCTCTATGAAGTTGTCGTGGCCGTTTTAAGTTTGTTACTTCGGATGTGTCCTTAACACATGTTCCTCTTCCTAGACCTGCCAATGCACCCTTTTATATATCTCTCGTTGCACATATTGTCAGCACAAAGCAGGCATCATTATCTAAAACGCATGTGTGCTGTCATATCTCTCTTTTCCTTTCAATTCTGCTCTTCTGTAAATTTGTAAAAGTTCACAAACCCGCGCTCTCGTGGCAAGATCCGAGCCATCCACTTACGCATAACTTCGTGGCGAACACAGTTTGCCACGGAGTTATGCCACGGGGACATACAGCAACATCTTGCTAACGTGGATACCCCTCGGGTATTCATGTTACCAAGTCACCCTAGGGTGACAAAGAAGCCGTAGTTTTAACCACTGTGGGGGGGCGTGTCCCCCCACACTTCTGGCTTTACCTTTGGTGGCATCATGTCGCCTTGGGAAACTTCCCACCTCCGTGACGCAGTGAGTACGCCACCCGCAGATGCGCTGCAGGCATCACAGCCGTAGTAAGAATCCCCCCTTATCCGTCATCTGACGCCGTCCCAAGCCAGATGAACGAAGGAAATGTCGTCGTGGTCTCGCAGGCGCGACGGTGCCAGCTACGGGCCTGGGGGCGCCAACTCGTCGCCACAGGCGGCGGGCCCTCACCAGGGCTCCGTGCTGATGGTGTACGGCCTGAACTCGGAGAAGATGAACGCCGAGAAGCTCTTCAACTTGCTCTGCCTGTACGGCAACGTCGTCAGGGTGGGTGCCTCCCCTCTCTCTCTCTCCTCCCCCTCCTCGGCTCCTTGCACGAGCCGCCACTTCGCTGTGGGAAAGTTTTTGCAGTTGTGGCAATGAGAGGTTGCTGCAATTGAGTGTTGGCTCTCTAACGTGCCAAAAAAAGTTGCATTTTTTTTGCGCTTATTTTACAGACCAAATATTACCAATAATTAAAGCGTAGTAAATGGCGTAGAACATTTTTCAATCAGAAGAATGAAAATATTGGTCAGTTACGGTGCTTTTCTTTAAAATTTATGGCATTAAACACTGCTAAAACGGCTTCATACATGCATTTATGTGCATTGTCGGGCACTGTTAGCGTCAACATGGCATCTGCACTTTTCTGCATCGGGGATTTGAATGCCAAACGAACGGAGGACATCTGAAAAACCAAAAGAGATGGCAAGAACTATGCAGTAACTCCCTGCGCATGTAGGTGATCAAAATAAAGGGAAGGCCAAGCAATATAGTCTGATTTGTGATAAATAAGTATTGCTTTATTCTTTCTGATTGTGCATATGTGCAAACATGTTTGTTCTGCATCCAATCATGACGAAGTTTACCGTCTTTCATTGAGGAAGAAAAATACTCTACCTAAAGCGATTACACTTTTGCAATGATAATAAAGATCCATACTATTCGGTACAACTCAAACGGCAAAAGTGATCTATGTTATTTTCCGGCGAATAGACAAAACGCCTGTGCTATTTCCTATAGGAATGCACGGGGGCACCGCAAAAGTAGATTGGTTGCTGGTTGCTTCAATTTGCCTCCCAGAAGTCACATAGACACTTGCGCCAGTTGAACCTCTAGCATACATTATAACTGATTCATACGACAGATATTGCTTTCCTGACGATTTAATGCCAGCATTATAAGAACCTACTTGTATTTTAATTATATTTCTAACGGCGAGAAACCCGAGCTCTTAGCTTTGTCTTTGACAAGTGCTTCTACTGAGCGAGAGTGGTGCAGCCAAGGTGTGGTCTTTGAGCAAAGAGCTTGTGCTTGCATCATGCTAGTGGCATTGGGTAACAAGTGCTCAAAAATAAAGGGCTTGGAAGCAAAGATTTAAGATGAAACATATTGCGAAAGAAAACATAATAGTGCAAAATTTTGGAACATGTTATAAGAGCAGAGCTATGTTTCCAGCAGAAATGAATTGATGGCACACGACCATCATGGTGCATGCCGTGGCAGCGCTCGAAGTAGAGAAACTGGGACTGGCAGCTGCGGGATGTTGGGGGCCGCTTCCTAGCGATTTGCGGGCCGCGTGTTTGAGACCACTGCTCTATGCGATATTGGCAGTGTGGCATTTTCTTGCTTCAGAGTTGTGCATTTACGGAGAAAAATATAAAATTGTTCCTAATAGTATTGTTTTGTACCGTTATCAAACATGACGGTACAGGAGAGGTCATGACGGTAATGTCGCTGCCTGCAACTACGCAATAAATTTGTTTAACCAACACATTGGGGATCTTTTGGTGGTCTTAAAATTTTGCGTATGATTGGTTTTAGAGTTTTTCCTAATTAGCAGACATTTTGGTCGGTTGGGGGCTGCCCTCAGTGGCCGATCCTTGACCGTCATTGTTTTCACAAGAAAAAAAGCTCAATTTTGAAATGCAAGTTTTTTTTTTTTTTTTTTTTAATAGTAATACATTGTTGAAGTTTCCATGCTTATTGTTACCACGCAGACTATAACTATAAACGCGCTCGATCGATGGGTTAGCGGGTGTGCTCACAGTCGAGCTCACTGCGGATGTCGGCTGCGGGCCCCGTAAATGGGGTGGTGAGACGGTCCCTGATGGTGGCCCTGTTGCATTACAGATCAAGTTCCTGAAGAGCAAGGACGGCTGTGCTATGGTGCAGATGGGGGACCCTCTGGCCGTGGAGAGGGCGGTGGGACACCTGAACAACGCACAGTTCTTCGACACCAAGATGCAACTCGGGTCGGTCTTTCAGTTTGACCCCTCTTGAACCCACACTCACGAATAAAAGGGTTGTACCGTAAAATCGCAAAAGCGACGCCAGCCCTAAATAAAGAGATAAATGTTGAAAGAATAGGGAATCTTCATAAAAAATTACTGATAAGCGCTGGGGCATGGGCATGGGGACAGGTACCACAGATTACGGACACGTCAAATTCGTGTTTCACGAGGCGACAGACGCGCGGGAATTCGCTACGAGCTCGTGTGTCCTCGGGAAAAGGTATCGCAGACTTAGGCGCGCAGCAGATTCAAGTTTCACTGTGCAATAAACGCGTGGGAACCCTTTGCAAACTTTCCTGTCATGGGAACCAACACGGCGCACGCAAATTGTGAACAAAAACGCAAAAACCTGCTATGAACTCACTTGTCAGATGTATTGGTACTGCACTCACTGTGTCAGCGACTTTTCGCACATCTGCATTGGAGAATGCTGGAGTGCATTGCATTTCCCCGTAGCTGCTTATGAAGGGAAGTCACAACAGCGCCATTTGTTAGGTGGCCGCGGAACCCTTCCGACTCGCACATATCTTACGCGTTGTCCTTTCGCCACGTGACGACGCCGGTCTGTTTTTTGTCGTAAGCACGCTCGAGTGCAGGCATGTGAACCTGATCTTTGTAAGACGAGCCTTAACGCAACAAGGGGTTCTTGGTGTAGACCCTTGCAATGTGAGTTCTCGAATGGAGTTCCTAGGAAGCCAAGGTTTCCGTGGGTTCCACGAGTTTCCTCGACCGTCACTCTCTAAGCATTTCAATTTTATGCTATTTTGGCGGACTTCAGTCACCCATTGATGCGTAACCATTAGTCGAGCTCTTTTTAACATGTACATTATTGTTCACAAGGCCTTTAAGCTTCTGCATTGCTTTATTGGACAAATGCCAAGACCGGGACGAGTTTGTCGGCAAAGCTCTGGAGCGAAGAATGATCGACCCAACTCACCTTGTGCGCATGGTTTGGTCCATTTTGCCTTGTGGGACAGCCAGCATCGACAAAAGAAAAGTTCTAATGCTCAGCTTAGCCGACAGTCTTAAGGCGTCGGGGACCCCAAGAAGGCCTTTGCAGAGGCCTTTTTGAAAACGACTGACTTAGAGGTTTTTAGAATTTATGAAGTTTGGGAACCCCTGCATTGTAGAGTAGTCTAATGTCACTGTGTGCATGGAGAAACCCCTGCCTTATAGTGTAGCCTAACATTGTGTGAATGGGGGAACCCTTGCCTTATGGTGTAGTCTAACGTCGCTGCGTGAATAGGCCTCGTGTTTTCGCAACATAGTCGAACGCTACTACAGCGTGGACAGGGCTTGAGATCTGCGCATGTTCTTGCACGTCTTGCACAGGTACTCGAAGCAGGCGTTCCTAAACGATGTGCAGCTGCCCTTTGAGCTTCCCGACGGAACGCCGTCCTTTAAGGACTTTATGGGCAACCGCAACAACCGCTTCACCAACCCGGAGGCGGCCTCCAAGAACCGCATCCAGCCGCCCTCGCGCGTCCTCCACTTCTTCAACACCCCCTATGGCATCTCGGAGGACGACCTCAAGAAGGTGGGGATACCCTTTCCCGCTCACTTCGTTGGCCTAGGGTTTTGGCCAACGAGAACTGTCGTCGCTCTGCCTGTACGAAGGCTTTTGCAACGGGCAGTCCAAACCCCGAATCGCGTCTACAAGCAAAAGGCATTTATTTGAACGCTTCTACCGACACCTTGTCCGGCAAACTTAGCGGCTTCTGGGATTGCATGTTGCCGGCAGGGAGTGCGTTGACGAGCGAAGTAAAGCGAGGGAAGTTGCATCTGCTGCACGCGTGGCAGCAAGAACGACAAGAGGCAGCCGAGGCACATTCAACGATGGAAGCAGCATTTGACCTTTTGTAGCAGGCAAAGCATTGGTTTGGAGCAGTCACTGATCTTTTTGGAGCAGATGCCAACATTGTTAGCACATCGCTTAAAAATAAAAAGTGACTGCATCGCTAAATGGGTGAATCTTTGGTAATGACTGAGGGTTCCTCTTTGTTGCTGGAGCATATTACCTTTGGTAGTAAGAATAAATAGGGCACCAAAGGAACACAGAGCCTTCTTTTTAGAAATAAGGCAACACTTCAGTTGAGGTAAAGCTTCTCTCCTTTTGCACTTTTTCAGCCAGTAGTTCATTTAGCCGGTATATCTAAATTCTGTAAAATGCCTGCAAAAACCAGCTCGTCTATCAACAGAAATGCGGCCCCCAAGTTCTATGAACCTATGAAACTCAAGACCTAAATATAATAACTACCGAGGCAACCACCCCCAAATGTCATGAAAACACACACTTGTGCAAGTGACACTGCTCCTTAACGGCATTGGAAGAGTGAATCAAAGTTTGTTGTTCTTTCGATCGACAGCTGCACGGGAACAACCATTAAGCAGTTCTGGAATAGTATTGAGCATAATTACTGAGCCTATTGTGCTAACGCGGGTACTCACCCACGTCAGCCACTACACCTAGCACTCCAGCGCGAAGCGGTGAAGCTTGACACGCTTCACCGCTGGCGAGAGGCGGCGTGTAGGCATGCTGCAGACGTGATAGTTAAGTGATCTCGTCGGCAGTGCAAGACCCTGGTTATGCGATATGTGGGTCTGATGCTGGAATCTAAATGTGTTTTGGGGAGTCCAGTGCCCCTTTAATCAATGGCGGAGGAAGGAAACAAAGGAGCGAGGTTGTTTTTTCGTTATTCTGCAGCTGTTCGAGGAAATGGGCTGCCCGGTGCCAGCGTCGATCAAGATGTTCACGTCGAAGAGTAAGTTTCGAGAGAATTCATCTCCAACTTACCCCATTCTTGCTTTTGAGTAGTGTGGGGTCAGGAGTCTTTCACGCAGACCGCACTTCCTTTACACGGCGCACGGAGAGGCGCTAGCGGCACGCCGCACGCCGGCTATTGGAAATGGGCCTTGCGAAGTGTGTGGCATGGTAGTGCCCCTGGATTGTTCCTGCCCGTGCGCGTTTCCTACGACTCTAGTGCAAAGACGCACCTTAGATTCTTGCTTTAAAAACCCTGTTTGCCCTTGTGCTGTCAGTTAGTTTCTTTCTGACCACCCCGCTGCATTTTTATGCTCTTGAAATATAATATAACTTGTCAACGATTGTACACGCCCCCTTCACGGCACCGCGGTAGCCTCAAATTGGCCAGATTTCTCGTTTTGTAGCTTCAAAGATGCGAGAATAATGCAGCATGTTTTTGCAAGTTCTTTTAGTACATATCATTGAGCTTAAATTGGCAAGTATAATTTGGGGGAATTTCTGACCCTCAACTGCCTAATTGTTGTCTTCAAAGTTATATTTGTTGCCTTCAAAATCAAGTTACTAGCCACAAACAAAATGGCAGCAGAATTTTTAAAAATATTCGGTGCTGCCATTTGTTGGCAGAGCGGCAAACAAAGCCACGAGCGAGCCTGGTTCGTTCAAAATTGTTGAGTGCATGAACCGGGTAAAGCAGACGAGCTATACTCGATTTTTCTTTGCAAACTAACAATATTGATACTTCATAATAAATATTTCTTTGGGCAATCTGCAGAAAGCGCTTCAGACTGAGAAAGTGCTAATTTTTTTCTGCCAAAACTTTTTTTCTTTTTTTCCAAGGCAACGTTGGTTTTGTTTTGAGGGGCATGGAGCCAGCAAAATGTATATTTTTCCTCAAAATTATAAACTGCCACCGGACATGTGTCAGCCGAACTTGTCTGAAAGCGCCCTGCTGTACTCATTCTTGTGACAGGGCGTCTATAGCTTCGAATATTTTTGTTCCTCTGTGTATTCTGGCTGTACCCTGTTTCACCTTAACTTGGCACGCGGCAACAGCTGCAATCCATCGGAGCGTCGAAGCGAGGTGTGCGACAGCGGGTCATCGGAGTCCACTCCTCCCGTAGAAAACCATCGCGTCCTCCGCTCCGTCATTTCGATCGGCTCGAGGGTGCCCTTGCGTTCGCTTTCTGCCGGGTTTCGCTGAAATGGAGTGTAGGCCGACTTTGTGCGGGCCAAAAGGGACCCTGCACCATTTTCCAGTTTGTTTCCGAATGATTGCGAGAATTCTCTTCAGCGCACCACTCAGACATGCTTTTGAAAATGTGTGGGAAGGTGGGCTTCGCGCCCACCAAAATGGGACGTTTGCGTGCGGAATTTGTGGCTCGTGCATTTCTCTACGAGAGACGTATACGGTAGAATCTAGTTGATACGTTTTTTTCAGGGGAGCGAGTTAAAGAACGAAAGTGATCCGGGAGAACGCAACAACAAATTGTGCTTTTGGGGAACCTATGTACGAGACCGGAAGCAGCTCTCTACAGCAATATATTTCGGATGGACTTTCGTGGCCATAGAAGACTACAATATGCACTTTTTCTTTCTTTCTTTTTTTTTTTTTATATACATGTGGTTTGTCTATATTTGTAACTATAAAATATCTGCCTATAAAAGTGAGCGAAAGTTCTGAGCCCTTCGAGCTAACCCAAGTGCTGCACCGCGTCAACCGACGTTCCCAGCATGCCGGCACGAAGCGTGATGCACACCCTGCAAGCGCGTCGCATGTGGTGCACGATTACTAATTTTACGCAAATCGGAACTAGCCCAACTAGGGGAATCTAGTTGCACTAGTTAACACGGCCAAAGCATGTGCACGCGTGTGCCGGAAGAAGAAATGGAAAGATAAATGAGCCGTGGCAAAAGCCCAATTCACTTCCAAGGCTAGTTCAAGGTCGCAGCTGCCCTAGAGGGTCAGATAGGGAGCAGAGTAAAAGGAGAGGTACCCGTGACCGAGCAGCCCTACTCATCACTTTGGCCGCACTGGATGGCAGTTTTCAGATGCGATAGCCAAGAAGCAAAGACAACCAATAAGAAACTGAATACATATTCCCCTGCTGGAGTTCCTTGGGATCGGCATTTGTGAGCGTAACAGCTGGGAAAATGTATAGACCGAAAACGTATCAGAGTTTCTACCGTATCGTCATTGCAGAGGAGAATTGTTTTCTGCGGGGGTCCCTTTTGTTCTATTTAGCCCCCCTTTCAAAACATTGACGAGACAAGGTGTGTGCGACGGGAAACTTTCTCCCCTCCCACTCTGTCGATAAGCAGAACCGGTCACTTTTTTTTCGTCCGCTAAACCTGTGCGCACTGTCTCTCACACTCTTGCAGAGACCGAAGATGCAAAGCCTCGAAAGCGTAAGCTAAAACGATATTGCAAACTGGAACCGATTATGCGAGGGAGGAGATAGCGAAGGGATTTCTCTTTCTCCGACTCGCCGATTTTTGGGACTTGGGGTCAGGGAAGAGGGACACTAGTGCCTGGAGGCTCGTGCTCAAGAGCTGAGAGTGCCAAAGCAGTGCAGGACTTGGAAGGCAGGGAATGCTGTAGTTTTACTCTTGGTAACTGCACAAGCAATGCGCTATTTAAAGTGCTCACGCTAAACTGTAACAGAGTGTGAAGTGGGATATGCTATGGCCGCTGACAAGATGAGAACAGCAAAGAGCAGCTTCGTTTGTCCCGCCTCCGGTGCAAACTTCCTACCTTTGACGTCTCGTGCACCCCCAGCACGTGCATGTAGCTCAAGCACGGTGTCAAAGGACGTGCCCTGCTGTTTTCACTCTGTCTTTGTCCATGGCGGTAAAGCAGTGGAGCAACTTTTTTGATAATCTGTGGGGTTATTAACGGGGGAAATAGCTCGTGTGTGTGCTTTGGATAACTCGGTGTGGTGGAGGTTTGCTCGGGAAATTCCATTGACTCCAACAAAATGCCCTCATTGAAGCCGTTATACAGTCTACAAAGCGTTTTGCTGAATATTGAAAAGTGTTCTTGAAAAAAGAAAGGTCTCTCAAATCAAAGGTTATTTCTTTGGAATTACGTTGTCAGGCTAAAAGCATTAGGTGGTAATTAGGTCGATTACGTGAAATCCTCTAACTTGCGAAATGTTCACCTTAGCTGGCACATACCATTTAAAGATGCGTTGACTGTCATCAAAATTGCCACGACCGTAGTTAAGATTCGGATATCTAGACTCTGCTCTGTGCTATTCTCTAGCAACTTTAAGTCGCGAGAGGACAGAGATGCCAAAACTGAACGCAAAAGATCGGCAGAAATCCCACCCAGAGGCGACGGCGATTCTCGCGCAGTTCGCTGGGCAACGAGGCAGTTGGGTTTGCAGTTGCGCCCACATCCAGCAAGTTTGGCAATTTTGTTGGGTCAATTTCCCCAGCGAGGGTTTGCACGTCACGCAAGAAGGGGCTTGCAACAGGGATGGATTGTTTCACGTATTAGACGGTGTGTGTATGTGTGTGTGTGTTTTGGTTCTGCTTGCTCCGTTTGCAGCGGAACGCAGCAGCTCCGGCCTGATGGAATTCGAGACGGTGTCGGAGGCGATAGAGGGCTTGATAGGGTGCAACCACGCCCCAATCAACAACCCCAGTGAGCACCCCTCTCCCCTTTCATAGTTGCCACGGCGACAATTCGTTAAGCTACTGCAACATCTTTATTGCCGGTCTTAAACGACGTGGATTTTTAAGCTAGTCTGGTGCATACGCCATAAAGCCCCCTTTCATCACCCTCATTTGATGTTGTTTTATCAATCCCCCACATGCTTGAAATTACAGTCTATACCTTGTCAAGATGATACCGCTACCGAAATTGCAAGGAAACCGAAATCTCATGTGAAGAGTTTTAGTAGAGACTCGTTGAACTGCACTGTTTGGTGTTTAATGTCGAACCACATGGTGCATTGTTATGGCATCGACCAATGTTAGCACAAACAGGATTCGCGGAGCGGCCTCGTCATTGATCTTGCCGTGAAGTTACAGAATTACATTGTATGGCAATTTAATGTTGCAATGTTCAACAATGTCGTTACAGCAATGTTACAATGTTACAACTACAATCTATTGTCTCTCTTTGTGTTGTAGAAGTTGAACTACGTGGCATGGTATAACTGGAAGGGATGACGGCATCAAGAGACGAGTAAAAAGGATAACTGTGTTTGGTCGTCTTGTTTATTCTACCAGTTTACTTGGCTTTGTTGTCACCTTCCATTTAGCATTGTGCTGAACTTTCACTGCCAAGGTTGTTGTTGCATCAACCTCTGACGCCCGGCGACGTTTGTTGCAGACGGCAAGTTCCCCTACATCCTCAAGTTGTGCTTCTCGTCTTCCGGCCCGAGGTACTGAACGTGCCGGACGCTGGAGCGCGCGGATCCCGCCGCCTATGCATCGTCACAACCCCCCTCCTCTTCCTCTTTATTGTTATACTTTTTGTTTACGAAGAGACACGGAAAGGCACAAACAAAAATAAAAACAAACAAAAAACACTCGCACCACCACTAACCAACAAGGAAGACGACACTACCACCAGAGACGGGAACAACAAAAACACCTCGTTTATTTAGGGTGGAAGGAAATAAAAAAAAATGTAGGCCGTAGTAGTCGTAGGGGAGAAGATCGAGGAAAAACAAAGATTGCTGGGCAAGAGACGACGGCTTACCTTTCCTGTATATCCTGTGTACAAAGACATTTTCAGAAGAGTATTATGGAAGTTTTGTTTTGACGTACCCCCCCCCTCATCACTGTTGTTCACTCACCGATTTGTCTGGTTTCTTATTCTCGACGCAAACCGGAGTTTTTAGATTCGCTAGCTTTCCATGGGCCGAATGAGACGTTGCGATAGAGGTTTACCAAGAGGTGGCTGTGTTGTCGTCGCTTCAAATGTTTTTTGAAGCTGGAGAACGTTTGGCGCGGGTGGCGCCCAAAGTTTGGTCGAGCGGCTTTGTTTTTGCATTGCATTGCACATTTGAATTCCATTGACAGTGGATTTTGGCGAGCCATTTGTTGAAAGTTGGGAGCTGGCACTTGTTTGTTTCTTTTAAGCGTGCCGTTTCTAGGTGTCCAGGGCATCCCCCGACCTCTGTGTTGACTCGAATTGTGGAGGAAACGAAAGGAAATTTCACGCGCGGTATATGTCTTCAGTTCTCCCACATTTGCGTTAAGTTGCACCTCCGGAGATCGTTCTTTCGTGCTTCCCCCTTCTGGCAAGGAAAGTGTTTTCCAAGTTGGATTAGAGCAAATGTAGCTGGGGAAAAAAGAAAATGTTGTGTGTGCATGTATGTGGCTGTAATCCTTGTTTCAGTGTCGACATAAGTGGCCTTTTTCTCGTTCAAAGTAAAGCATTTTTAGTTTAGGAACATGGTACCTACTTCCACTGTCCGCCATGCAAAGAACAACTCTCCATTTGATTTTTTTTTTATGTGTCGTGTTTTGTGCAACGCTTTTCATGTATCTGGTGGTCTCGTGCTTAATAAAAAGTGACGAATAGAATCTGGGCAATTCTGGAAATGTGTGCATGACAAGTTGCATGGATATAGACACTTGCAAGCCGACAAGTTTAAATAACTCGTCTGGCCACCACGAGTGGAAAAACGCAGGGCAGTATCTGGCAACTGTGGGCACGCTTTAACGTGGCTCTACTGCCAGAGGCCTGCACACACCAGCGGGGCTAGAGGGCAGCACCCCGAGGCCGTACTTGCTGACGTGTGTAAGCTGCTACCTTTTGATCCCCCCCCCCCAAAGAACAGATTGTGAAACCAAATTCCTGCATCCTGTGTGTTGTGGAAGTTTTAGTCCATTTTCTGATGCTGGGACGAGTTGGCACCACCACCTCGAACCCTTTCATTGGTTTTTGAGGCTAAGAAGGCCACCTCAGTATAGCAGATTGCTATTGCATTGATAAATATTCATCAACTACCAACTGAAAGTTCACGTCGACGTCCCTTTAACGCGAGACAGAGTCCCAAGTCATTCTGCCTCGTTTAAGACGCCTATCCGCTCCCAGACGACACTGTGTTGTCCATCCTTTTAGATGCTCTCCTCGTTCTCAGGTGTCCATCATAATCCCATAGATTGAGACTACATGTCCTCAAAATTTAGGTGTTCTTTTGTGTTCTCGCCTTCATGAACTGCGAGCTACCTAAGGAGGCATTACATGATAAAAAGAAAGAAAAACAAGGTACTGGCAGAAATTGGGACGACTTCATTTGCGTGCATCATGTTGGTCTAGTACCATTCTACCTTTTTCGTGCTGCGCTACTTTCTACCTAAGTCATAAGGATTGGGGATGTCGTGAACCTCCCGAAGTTCGAATTCGACAGTTTTCAAACTTTTCGACCTACTCGGGGGTTCGATTTCGCCAAGTTTGGAACTTTCGAAACTGCCCGGATTCGAATTTGTAAAGTTCGAAGTCATTGAAGTTTTAAAATTTCTTATTCGAAAGTTTTGATTTTTTAAGATTGAGGTTTGCAAAATTTGACGGTTTCAATTTTTGTACGATTAGAGTTCACAAAATTCGATAATTTCGAATTGTTTAAGCTTCCAATTCGAAGACTTCGAAAAGATCAAATTTTTTCGGAGCCCAAGTTCACAAAGTTCAAAGCCTTCGAAGCTCACAAAGACCCGGGTTCCCGTAAATATCACAAGAATAAAAAACACAAAACCTGACACAGCGAGAGTGCAAGGAGCACTCTAAACTCAAGGCCCTCAAAAACTCTGTTCAACAGGCTCCCCGGACGCATCCTGACCTTGTTTATCTCGCTATTTTTTCAAACATAAACAAGACTTTGTGTGTACATGGGACGGCATACAGTCAACATAAATGCACATACTCAAACACTGGTTATAAAATTTGGTTCTCAACTCGAGCGCTTTGTACTGCTGTCTGTGCACATTTTCCTTCGATGGAGAGCGGACTAGGCTCAAGACTCTAGAGCCTTCTCCACGGTGTGGCCAGCATGCCGATCATTCCAGATATATTCCATTCACCGCGCCGCCTTAAGCGTGATTTTTCGGCCTTGCTAGCATAAGTGTGCACACGCAACCAAAGCACTGCTGAAGTCGGCAAGCCTCACTGCGAAAGTCAGCACCTCAGGCCGAGCTTCTTTCAGCGGTTTCATCATGTGCTTTGCTCGCTTTCCAAAGCTACAAACACGCGTGCTGGGCTGTGATTTTGTAACCTTTGCTTAGGGTGATGACATTGTAGTACCCGGCACCGGCAGCACACACGCTCGAGAAAAATACAAATAGTCTGTTACGAACTGCCACCGTAGCACTGTCAATGTCAAGAGCTCGTGCTGGCTGGGAGACGCGCTTCCTCGCGTGCAGGAACAAAAAAAGAAACGAAAGTGTCGGGAACAAAATGGTCAGATGTCGTCACCCTAAGTAAAGCACAGATGAAGGCACCCTATTCCAAGCAACAGCCCAGCGCGTACTGCTCCACAGCCCGGCACACTCGTGTCCGTTGCCTGAGAAAGCGATGAAAACACGTGCCATACACACAAACTTTCTAGACTGCACCTCCCAGAGGCTTTCTTTTAAAGATGTGTGGACCGTACAGCTAATAAAGAGCTTCTTTCTGGTGCCATCTTGAGAGCTGGGCACAGAAGAGTCAGCTACAAGGCAACGCCGAAGTTCCTGCTGAAGAACCGGGCATCTTAAGTGCAAGTTTTTAACAGTTTTCTTCCCCTTTAATTTAACAAAGTAGTAATGCTCAGGCCATTTAGTTTGGTCGAATTGCCAGGCTTTTTAGCCTATATTTTTCTCCTCCATGGCCACCTTTTTTTGCATTACGGTGGAAGAAACGCATTTTGGGGGTGACTCTGGCCACTCTTCCCGAGGGGAGCAGGTGACCAGATCATGTTCGGAGCTAGCCTCGAACCAGGAGTAGTTAGTTCTGCACTACCGCAGAGGGCGCTGAGGTATGGAGTCTCCTCGGCGGCCACGGTGTCTGCGGTGTAGTATGCTTGCCTTTTTCGCGGTGTGGTGGTGGAGTGCGGCCAGTGGCTGGCCTCTTGTTTTGCTTTGGTGCTGTATTGATCACAGGTGCCACCATCGTGCACGAAGGTGAGCCTTATCCCAAAGAAGGAAGATAACACAGATTTATGGACTTGGCGACTTGGTGGTGGTGGTGAGGTATAACAAGAAGCAGTGAGCGAGAGAATGCGGGACCACCGCTGGGGAGAGACAACCGGAGTGGTCGGTTTGGGAGGGATCCCATACTTGGGCGCCATCTACCCTTGTGCAAGTGAAGTGCGCTCGGTTTGCCAAACATAATGTGGCCGCCACATGAGACAGAGTCATCACCTAAATGTGTTTCTTCAACCGTAGGTACAACAAGAAGCGGTGAGCGAGGGTATGGCGGGACCACCGCTGGGAGAAACAACCGAAGCGGTCTGTGGTGGACTGGTTCACGCTCGCAGGTGTGTGACACAGTGAGACGGAACACGAAGACAATGTGGTTGGATACGATAAATATGATTAAAGATTTAAGACATTATATACAGATTATTACAAAAACCGCACAAACGAATGTCACTGACAGTATGAAGTAAGAGTGTTACAGGCCTTGCCGGGGAGCGATGCGACAGTGTTCGAAGCCTGGTGAGCGTTGCAGCGATGGCTTGGTTGGATGTCTCAACCCGTCTGTTGACGTGTGGCTAGGGGGCGGCGTCTTCGTAGTCGGGTCTTGCGTGTAGCTGCAAGACTCTGTCGACCTGTCGACGGACGACCTTGCGTAAAGTTGCAAGGCACAGCCCGCCGGCCTGATGCTGTCCCGTCGAGTTCCACACTTCTTCTTCAACCTCCTCCTTTTTCTTCTCCCTCAGTGAAGGCTTTCTTTCTTGCCCGTGGAAATGAAAGAAGAAGAAGCACCTTGTAGATGGTCGATCCTTTTTCTGCGTTCCACATTATTTTTGAAAGATTGCCGACGCCTCTGGATTAGAGCCTGATCTGTTCCTTCCCTACGAAAGAAGTAAGCCTCTTTTATACCCGGACGTACAAATCATACTCCTGAAGGCCGCCAGCTACGTGGACCCTTTAAATCTGGGTCCTACCAAGGTGCTCCCGGATTTTCCATCATGGAAAACTCCGATGGAGAGCCTTCATCAGATGGAAGACAAAAATCAGGCCCTTCGGTGACGGCATTAGCGAAAGATCAAGCCGGCCAGCCAGGTCAAGAGAGAACATCAGGTCAAGCGCTCAAGGGTATCAAGCGACGCAAAGGAGAAAATGACGACGAACCTGACGATGACGACCAAGATGAGGATATAGGAGCGTCTGAAGTAACATCAGACTCTACCATGCACATCGACGAGGAGAAAAGTGACCTGGAGGGATTCATATTCGTTACACACCGACGTCAGCGAACAACTGGGGTACCAGTTTTACTGACCCCAGTCAAAGATGACCAACGACTCCAAAAACAGAATCCGCTCAAACTAAGCGAAGAAATAGCGGCAGCGGCAGACGCCCCTCTTGTGAGACATCATTTCACTGCTCGGGGAGGTCTCCTTGTAGATGTTGCAGACGCTGCTACCGTGAACAAGCTGCTGAAGGTTCGTTCTCTCTGTGGAGTTGCGGTCCAAGCAACCATACCGAAGACCTACATGCGGAACAACGGCCTCGTGACAGGGGTACCTGATTGGTACTCGGACAGCGAGCTAACGGAATTCCTGGAACCGGCTGGTGTGATCGCAGCCCGCCGACTCTACCAACGTCGCGCAAAGGTTGGCGAAGTGGCTAAACCGACTGACCGAGTCGTTCTAACTTTCCGGCCAAACACAGAGCGCCCAGTAAGAGTGAGCCTTGGGTTCACCATACATGAGGTCTGCGATTATGTTGAAGCCCCCTCCCGATGTTTCAACTGCCAGGCACTCGGACACATAGCCAAATACTACAAGAACGCTGTCAAGTGCAAAAAGTGCGCAGGACCACACGCAACCAAAGACTGCAAGGGAGAAGACCCCGTGAAGTGTGCAAACTGCGGTGGGGACCATCCCGCAAGCTACGTCAACTGCAAAGTGCGCCTCGGAGCACTCGCAAGAAGCAAGGCTTTTGTCAATGGACCACGACAGGCTTTGAAGCCAGTGGAGACCGTGGAGGTCAACGATACGGCCGCATCGCAGAAATCACCTGTTGCACCAGTTGCGATGTCAAAACCTACAGACAGCCAAACAACATCTGGCATGAAACCACAGGAGGGGCGACGAAAATATAGGAAAACGAACAGCGCCAGTAAGAATCTAACAGAGAAACAGACGCTACTCGAGGAGGAGTTTCCTCCCTTACCACCCAGAGAATCGCAAGACCCCAACGTGTCCCAAGCTCACCGGGCTTCGTCGACGGGTAGACGCCTCTACAGTAGAGCGACAGAAAATGTCCCACCACACCCAAAGAGAGAAACTGATCTGCCTGGGACATCAAATGTCAACGACATAGTAAGTTTGCTTTTCTCTGCCATACGAGGCTTCATTGCCCAACTACCTCCAGGCCATCTAAAA